GAGGATATGACCCAGATGCTGCGATGAATTGGATAATGGAGATTGAGAAGATCTTCAATGCGATGGAGTGTCCCCTCACTCAGAAGGTGAGGTTGGCTACCTTTATGTTGACTGCTGATGCCCATTTTTGGTGGGAAGGAGCACTTCAAAGGATGATTGATGGAGGGGTGCACTTAAATTGGGATAACTTCAAGAGGGTCTTCCTTGAGAAGTATTTTCTGGATGATGTGAGGAGTCAAAAGGAAGTGGAATTCCTTGAATTGAAGCAAGGGAATGATACAGTAGTAGAGTATGCTGCAAAATTTGATGCTAATCCACACCTACCTCACCTACCACACTTATCACACCTACAATAATTTATCACACCTACCCAATGTGGGACTTTGGAGGATACCCACACACTTTGGGCACAACATTCCTCCCTTCATCCAAAGTCTCACATTAACCCATCATCATTCACAAGTTTTTTTTTTTTTGGCAAAGCTTGGAAACCCTCGAAACCCTTTTTCACAAGTTTTCCTGGCAAAACTTGAAAACCTCTTCTCTTCACAAGTTTTTCTGGGGAAACTTGAAAACCTCTTCTCTTCACAAGTTTTCTGGGTGAAACTTGAAAATCCCTTCCCACAAGTTTTCTGGCGAAACTTGGAAACCCATTCTCACAAGTTTTTCTGGCAAAACTTGGAAACCCTCTCTTCACAAGTTTTCCTGGCAAAACTTGAAAACCTCTTCTCTTCACAAGTTTTTCTGGGGAAACTTGAAAACCTCTTCTCTTCACATCACCTCCTTGGTACACTGCTTCTCTTCCTCCCTGGTACACTACTCCATCATCGAGCCAGTCACCCGATCAAACCATCGGCTCTGATACCACTGTTGGGTACCAAAGGGAAAATAAAACTACAACAGCGGAAGCACACACAACAAGAGAAACAAATTAAAGAAACAAACTCAAAAATTAACGTGGTTCGGCACTTCTTGCCTACATCCACAAACACACACAAAAATTTATTTCTCTCCACTTGCAATTTTACAAGGACTAAACCCTCTCATGACACACAACTACCCAAGTCCCCAATACACCCATTGGAACCTATGTTGTTGTGGTGAGTAGACACTAACTATCACCTCTTATTTATAGTAGTAGTCTACCACTCCCTTCTTCAAACTTCATGATGTGGGACTTTGGAGGATACCCACACACTTTGGGCACAACATTCCTCCCTTCAAAACTACCCAATGTGGGACTTTGGAGGATACCCACACACTTTGGGCACAACATGATGTGGTATTAGCTTCATGACACATGTAAAAAAATACAAAAGCACAGAAGTCGAACGTCAAAACCTCAAACCTCTTGGTAAAATCATGAAGGCATAGAACTACTCTATTATATCATTAATCACTAAAATCAAACATTAATTTCACATACATGATTCAAATAATTAATGTCAATCTTCAACTTGCTTTATGAGTTGAGTTTTCTATAGGCACTAAGATTTTTTCATAGATTCACAATTTATAGCAATTTATCCATAATTTACAACAAATATAACACAATTATCAATTATAGAGTACAAAAAAATCATACAAACAAGCAATCACTCAAAATACAAGTAAAAGTCTAGGGTTCCCAATATCCTCTCACAAAGTACAGGCTAGATACAAACAACCTCCAATTCCACTATCCAACAAATACCCATATCTTAGAGTGAGATTATTCACTTTCTTTTATTTCGATGAACATTAGACAAAGGATGAATATCTCTATCATGTACTCCAACAACCGTTCTCCTCAAGAGTGCCTTTTGTTTTAGAGAAAGAAAATGTAAATTAAATTGAGCAACTGATGACTAAACCTTCAAAACTTCCTCTAATCCAAGCTTAACTCCATTGCTCAAAAGATTAACCACGACCACACTTTCTTTCCCTTGCATTTAATTATAATAATTATAAATAAAATAATTTACATTAAAATCATATAATAAAATACTCATATTATTTTATATTTTTTGTAAATAAACACCCACATTATTTAAAAATCTCTAAATTATTTTTGGAAATATTTTATTAATTTTTAAAAAATTGAATGCTACAATAGTGATGCCAAATTAGAATTTTAAAAGTCGGCAATTGTAAACAAATTTTGATGACATGACATACAAAAAAAAAAACATGTTATTGCCAGCATAAAATTTTGAGACAATTTCTTAAGTAGTCACTTTCACAATTGAATGTGCTTATTATTAATATGTAGTATTAATTCATGTAATACGCGTAGTAGTTGGGTACGTATATATCTCCAATTTTTAAAAATGATATTTTTCATAAGAAAACGTGCCACTCTTTTCCTTTTCTTATAAAAGTGTGAAAGAAAAATTTAGTGTCCTCAAATAATATTAATGATCATTTAGAGTTTTTTTATTTAAAAAAGATAGGAAATATTATAAAGATGGTTACAGTAAGGATTAAATCTAGGTCTTCATGTTTCTAATTATCCTAACTCGTCTTCACTTAACTACTAGGCTAGACTAAAGAGTTTTGAAAATTAATTGAGTTAAATTCAATTGAAATTAAAAAAAATACACTCATAAATTTTTACACATTTTTTTTAACATAATTTTAAATATATTAAAGAAATTTTCGTCGAAAAACAATGTTGGGGAGGGGACCACTGTTCTGGGCACCGTGTGGATTATTAATGATCATTCGATGACCTTGACCGAGTCTTATTATGGGAAACGCCACATTCACTTTCAGTGTCTCCGAAATAATTGCGTTAAATAACAATTTTAAGAAAAGAGTTTCGTAACTTTTATTAATTATTATAGTATTTTTTTTTTTTTTATTTAAAAGGTTATACTTATAAAATATAATGCATAAAAAAAATAGTCTCTATGTATTTTATTTAAATAAAATAAAAAGTAGACTCAATTTAATACACGTACCTATAGCAATATAGAAGAGATAAATAGTTTATACAATGCGTAAATATTTCATAATAATGAGTTAAATAACTATAGGAAATATATGATAGTCTAAAAAAAAGTGAGAAGAGTGAAAGAAACACTGTATCTTTAGATATTTATTTAAAAAAATAATAGAGGTTACTAAAAAGATAATGATGATAATTTTATTTAATAAAATAAATAATTATTAAACAGTTGTTGTTATTGAAAAAAATAATGTGCAGTTATTAAAAGAGATTATTGATTTAAAATGGAAAGTGAAAATAGAAATAAAAATATTTTAAATAAGTATAGAAAAATAAGTTAAAAAATAAATAGATCCTAAAAAAGTAGAAAAAAAACAATATTATTTATATAGTACGTATAGATATAGATGTATGTATATAATTTAAATTATGCTTTTATAAATAATCATGATTGGTAACGTTCTTGTTTGGAATAGAAGACTCTAAATTTTTTAGATAAACTTTTTTATAAATATATTTAGAAGAAATTGATTTATAAATTAATTAAAAGTTATATTTTAAATAAGTTAATATAAAAGATTTTCAATAAATTAGCTTATACAATTATACAAAAACTAATTTTAAGTTAATTTTTTTTTAAATTTTATTCTTATTTTATAAGTATTCATGAAAATTTTATTTAAATTTACTCTTTATGCAACGATGCTTCCACGAAACAATGATAGTAAAGGTAGTCAAGTAGAGTTTTCTTATTAGGAAACTTGTGGACAAGTGTTGTACATGGTGAATCTATAAATAAACTCTTTCGACGAGAGTTTCTAAACATATGAACGAAGGTTAAAATATTATCAGTTTTAGAAAATGAGTTATTATGGTGAAGAAAATGATAGAGTGAGTGGTCTTTATGAGGTTTCAGTGAGAGGTAGTGTGTGCGAGTTAGAGTCTCTAATAGTGCGAGACCCTCTTATCTTACACAAGCTTTCGTTGAGAAGCTTCACCGAAACTCCCTTACACGTCTCAGCTTTACTTGGTCACTTTGACTTCACCAAGTGTCTTCTCTCTCACAAACCTCAACTGGCCCTTGAGTTAGACCACTCCAAACGCACCCCTCTTCATCTGGCTTCAGCTGAGGGCCATGCAGAGATTGTGCACGTGCTGTTGCAAGCGTGTGAACACGCGTGCTTGATGAGTGACCAAGATGGGAGAATCCCTCTCCACTATGCAGCAATGAGAGGACGAAGAGAGGTGGCAAGAGAGTTGATTCGAGCCAAGCCTGAGTCAGTGATGGTGCTTGATGGCTCGGGAAAAACTATGTTGCACCTTTGTGTTGAACATAATCACTTGGACACCCTCAAAACATTAGTGCAAGAGGGCCATGTCGGCCACAATTTTCTAAACTTTGGAGACTTCAATCGTGGGAATACCCTCCTCCATTTGGCTGTTATGTTCAAGCAAATTCAGGTATTATATTCCCTTTTCTCCATTTTTACTATTATAATTTTTTTTTCATAATTGATTTTATTTTTTATTAATTAAAATATATACAAACTAATTTTAATTATTAATTGGAGTCTATCACTACAACAAAATTGTCATACACTGACACACCTTATAGTGACATTATACATGTTACTAAAAATTACTTTTATCCACATAATAACTATAATATATGTTGGTATATTACTAAAAAATGTGGGTATAAACTATAGTGACACATAAAATATGTTGTTAAATCTTATTTAAAATCAACACTAAAATTATGTGTAACTATATGTCAAATAGACATATACCTACATATATTGTACCTATAATGACACTTTTTATATGTCACTACATGTAACATTTCTTGTAGTACGTGACCCACCTCATTTAACCAAGAACTTGAGGTTCAAATTTCATCTTTTTACAATTATAAAAAATTTAAGTTAAAAAAAAGATATTTATCTGTTTGATGTCTATTAAACTATTAAAAGAAATCATCTTTATATTCGGTAGAGAATATTTCTTGATAATAAAAAAAGATTAATTTTAATTTATGAGAAATTTATTCCAATTTTTTTATAAATATTATGAATAATAATAATAATGTAAATAAAGAAAAATATTTTCTCGTAACTAGCTAGTAGTCTTATATTATCTAGATATAAGAACAAGATAAAATATATAAGTAGAATATAATTTTAATTTTAAAAAGTTGATTTTATAAATTACATATGTTAAAAATAACTATAAGGTAACATCTAATTATTAAAAACTTAACTTATATACTTTATTTTCCTCTCATATTACTTTTATATGTGAAACCTAATTTTTTGCGATAGTTATACTAAAAGACACCACTGCTATTAAACACGCATAAACATACTCTTAAGTTGATTAATTTCATTGTTGTCGACACAATTCTTAATACCAATGGATTTGGATTTGGGATTGACCAATAACAGTATAATTAAACTAATAATGAAGAATTTGCATCGACATATTACTAAAGAAGGCCATTGAAACAAAATGGCAAACAAGAAATGAAAGTTAGAAATTGTTTCGATAATAATGAAACTGATTGACTTGACTTTATCACACATTGTTTATGATTGACTTGACTTGATCACGTTATTCAAACAAAATGGCAAACAAGAAATGTAAGTTAGCAATTGTTTCAATAATAATGAAATCGATTGATTTAACTTTACCACACTGTTTATTATTGACTTGACTATGTTATTCAATAAATGTTGCTAATGTATATGGTTGATTTTAGACCGTAAGGTACTTACTTTCGATACCCAAAATAAGAGAAGAAGGGAATATTAAGAACAATATGGGTTATACTGCTTTGGACATGCTAGAGCACGGTACAAGAGACTTTAAAAGTCTTCAAATGCAACTCATGTTGATGGACGCTGGCATCATCAAGAACAATGAACATAATAACCAAGTAGACCACACACTATCAACAACCATAACTGTTGTTCCACCAATGACAATAGCTGATCCAAATGCAAAGTGTTGGAGCAAGTTTTTGAAGGGTATGAATAAGTTCTTACAACATAAGAGTGGTAGGTTGGAAGAAATGAGAGGCATGCTGAGTTTGGTAGCTACAATGATCTCAAGCATGACCTTTAATGTTGTGATGAACCCACCAGGTGGTCATATGAGCCCAGCAACATTTTATATGACACGAGAAATAACTACGAGTTTCATAACGTACAACACTATTGCTTTCATTGCATCGCTTAGTGTTACTCTCTTACTTGTGAGTGGTGTCCCCTTAAAGAACGAAGTCACCATGGGGATATTATCAATAGGCACAGGTGTCACTCTCACATTTCTTATGCTTACTTACATATATGCCCTGTTTTTGTGTCCATATACCTTTCCTTATACGGGAAGTTTATCTATGTTTTTTTCTTGGCTTGGACTTGTTGGAGTAATCGTTGTATTCACCATAACCCGCTTAGTTTCTTGGTTAGTGAAGAAGATTTTATAACACGGAGTAGAGGTTCAATACTGGATTTGGGAATCACTCATCGGTTGAATTTCGCCATTATGTAATACTTCTTGAGACATTCCTAGTCTATCTAATGTAAAATAAACACTTATGATTAGTGTGATACCCTTCTACCTTTAAATACTTTTATACAACTTAATAATGAAATAAGATAAATAATAATTAATAAAGTTTATATTGCATTATTAGACAAGCCTAGACTTTCACTCGGCTAGACCATTGTCTAGACTTCACATATGATTGAGCACAATCTTGGATTTTACCCTACTAAGTCATTGCTTATACTTACTCACATCACACATGTAACTCACAACATAAGGTCTCAAGCATAAGATCACACAAGCACACACACGTTCATCGTAACCTACTTATAATATATTCACAAAAGTTCTTTCTCCCACACTTTATCTTTCTTAACTATTGATATAAGTATCTTAAATCATCCATAAGGTTAGCCACTTAAAGGATAAACAACTCACCCATACAATTCACAAACTATCTTTTCTTATTTTAGGCTTTAATGTATGTTTTTATCGATTGGATTGAAAGAATAGAGTTTGGGTATAATTATATCATATACTAAAAATTCTAGTAAGAATATACTTAATATTTATGTAATTTCTCTGTGTGTGATTAATGATATTGAGTTTCGATGTTGGGTTAGAAAGTAGGCATTCGAGGCTACAATTTAGACTCAAAACCACATAAAAATGTTAAGAAATGGTAAAATTATGCGAGTTAAAAGATGAACCTCATGTTTTGTGCGTGAAATGTAACATTCATATGTTGCAAGCTTTTTGAGTAGGCTTAAATGACATAATTAGGTTTTGTAATCTTCATGAAAGTTGTAGCTCTAGATGTTAGCTTTCAAATTCCATTGCAATCACCTAAACAAGAGGTTTAGAACTCAAGTTATGATTGAAATAGTGATCAAGGGTCAAATTGTTAGATTTATGTTGAAACGTTGTGGTTTTATATTTTTTAAAAATAGTAAAAGGTAAATTTAACTCTTAAGGTCAGCATAGAAGTTGTAGATAATTGTTGTAGCTTACTTAAAAAAATAATATCAACTTGATACCACACACACACACACACATATATATATATATATATATATAGATAAAGTGTTTGAAACTACACGATATCTTAGAAGATTAAGTTATGAAAATATAGTTTGTCAATGGTAATTAATAACTTTACCCTTTAAGTGTTGGACCTTACAAATGGTTTGGGGTGCCTATATCAATATGGAGAAAGGAGAAATCAAGATAAAAAAAATAGTTAATAAGTTATGATGTAAGTTAATTGTTAATAACTTGAGGTGTTTTAGTGATAGCGATGTTTAAGGACTTGATGTGTGATATTGATAAGGCTACTAGATTAGTTAAATTATTGATTTAAATACCTAGTGACGTTGATCTCTTAGTGAATATGGTTGATATATTAACATATGATTAGATGACTTCATAATGATTTTATCTTGAGGTATTAGATAATGCTGTGTAATTGTTGTGATTATATATTCACTACACATATTTCTAATTGGTATCACATGCATGCAAATTGAAGTTCATGTCTATTTCATCTCATATTTGCATATGACTGTATTTGTCTTTTAAGATTAATGATATGATGTTTTGTTAATGAGCTATTATGATTTGATAATGTTAATTATGTTCTTAATATTGGTGGTATTGTTATGAAGGATATGTTGAGTGTGTGTGACTATCCATCTTTTGTTTCATGCCATGAGCTAAAATGAGATGTTTCTCACTCTCCTTGTTTCTATATTGTTGTTGTTATGTATGTTGTTGTAGGTGAAACTCATCAAGATATTGATGATGTTGGTGACGAGACTTAGAACTTGTTCTAGAAGTTCTTTGATAGGATATGTGACATCAGAGTTTAGACCAGGGTTGTTTTTGTTATTCTTACGATAGAAATTATGTTTAGATATGTATTTTTGCTTTATTATGGAGCTTTGTTTTGAGAGGTTGTTATGTAAGACTCTTTACCTCATGTTGAAGACTACATTTTTATTATTTATGCATGAATTTGGTATTTTTATGTCTTTTGTTCCGAATTATAATTCATATACGTATATTGGGTAAAGGGTGTCACAATGAACTTGTGTGTGTGTTATTTTGTTTGTCTATGTAATAGGAAGAAAACATAGAAGCATAAAGAACTTTGAGATTCACGAAGTTAATCAAAAAGGAAAGTTAGTTACCTACTCCCTCAAAAGACATGCTTATGTAGGAAAGAAAGAAATCAACTTGTATTTCCTAATGCAAAAGGCAAACACGCTTCCTATAAAAATATTTTGAGTACAAAAAATGAAGACAAGCATAATGTTTTATCTTATAAAAATGACTAGTTGGTAAAAATAATTACAATATAAAATGCATTAACAATCAATTCTCTCAACTCAACATAGGAAGACGATAGAGAGACAAAAACACAAAACTTCAAGTCACAACATATACTTTTGAAGAAAGACTATAAATAAAACACGACTTCCAAGATGGAATGGAGACCATGCCACATTGATTTCAAGTAATTATGAGCAAAACAAATTCTCTATACAAATTCTTTCATTCTTATATCTTGTAAAGTTTTGTATACAAAAATGTGTGTTCCTAAGATTGCACTTCATCATATATTTGCTTAAGACAATAAATCATTGTTAATGTTACCCTTACCAATTTTTAAGTGAAATTTGGTTGAAACTTGAAGATATTTTATTGCAAAAAATACTTGGATTTGAAACATAAAAAGACTTTATTATAAATAGTAGATGGATTTTTGTTTGGAAAAACAAGTGAAATAATACTTAGGTTAAGTCTAAAGAGGTTTTTCAAAAGAATACTTGTAATTTGGTAAATTTAGAGTGAAACTTGGTGGTGTGCTAAGAACTAAACATAGTTTCAATATTGAGATGAACTAGTATAAAATTTATGTGTTGTTTCAATTTTCATCTCTTATCTTGTCTAGTCATAATTGTATTTTAAAGATGTATGTTTAAAGTGTTTCTTAAGATATAAAAGAGTTTTTATCAATTGTCTAAAGTTAAAAGTGTTTTGATAAAATGACATACATTGTCTTATTATTTAGATGAAACTTCGTATTTCAAAAAAGGATCTAGAAAAATGTTTTAATGCACAATTCAATCTTCCTTTTTGTATTTTCCTATGTCTTATAGTTTAGTATCAGAGTTTAGCCTCTAAGGGTTGTGCCCTTTTCAAGTGTTACATGAAAAGACTCAAGGAAAATCTCAAATAATAGCATATTCCAAAAGGAGTTTCTTTATCAAGACTTTCATCCTTCAATGGAGAATATTATGCTTATTGATAGGATAGGATAGGGATGTACATCTAATCCTTTAAATATAATATCTAGAAAACAATCACCCTTGGTAATTTAATCATCACAAATCCAAAACACATATACAACCGAGAAAACTAGAACATGCTCCAGCAAAATGTTAAAGCAAAGTATATTATCACCTATATGGAAGATTCCAAATGATCATAATGTATCACAAAGTCTTGAGGTTGAATTCAAAAATGCTCAAAATAATCTCAAGATCTAGGATAGTCTTCTCAAATATGGAGAATCCAACCCAATAAAAGTTGAGAAGGTTGAAGGGAAAACCAGGAAAAAAAAACTCTCAAGGTTAAGCTTAATGAATCAGAGAGCTCAAATCATAGTTCTAGCAAATTGCCTAATAATAAATTCTCTCTCATGAGTAAGAAGTTAAAAAAAATTGCTTCATTCAAAAGAAGGGGAGATTCAAGCATTCTTCATCAAGAAAAGATAAGTTCCCGATACAACCTAAAGAAAAAGTAATGATATTATTTACTTTGAATGTAAGAAATCTATGCATATGAAAGTTGAAAATCCCAAGTTCAAGAAGAGGTGAAATCCTTGAAAGAAAAACATGAAGAAAAATTTCTTTGCTACCTAAAAATATCTTCTAATTAATAGTTAGGAATGACACTGGAGCTAGATAGGTACATGTAGTAGGCCCTTGCCACCCTCTCTATTTAGTGTGATATCTATTTAATTAGTTAACGGGTATCCATGAATTTTATGTATATCCACGAATACTTATGGTATTTATGGATATTTTTTAAAATATAAATTTTAAATAATTAAAAAGATAAGAACAAAAATAAATAATTTTGAAACATATATTTATATTAAAAATAAATTTGTAGTATATTTTTTTCTAAAAATAAATAATTATGACCTATATCTATAATCTATAACAATTATAAATGACTTAAATGTGTTTTTGGTTCCTAAAGTATAACAATAGTGCAATTTTAGTTTCTCAAATTTTAATTGAGCAATTTTACTCCTCTAAGTATCACAATTGTGTAATTTTGCTACCTTAAATTTTTAATTGAACAATTATAATCTCTCAAGTATCGCAATTGTATGATTTTAGTCTTTCATGTATCACAATTATACAATTTTTTTTTACCTATTTAAGTTACATATATTAGTAATTTTAGTAATAATAAATATAATCTTTTAATACATGAATAAAAATTATAATATATATAACTTAAACAGGTAAAAAAATTGTATAATTGTGATACTTGAGGAACTAGAATAATACAATTACAATATTTGAGAGACTAAAATTACTTAATTAAAATTTGGGAGACCAAAATCGTATAATTGCGAAACTTGAGAAACTAAAGTTTTTCAATTAGAACCTCATAAACCAAAATCACACAATTATAATACTAAAGGTATCAAAAACACAATTAAGTCTAATAAAGATGATAAACCTTTTTGATATACACGTTTTATAATTGATTTTATTCTTATAATTATTTTTTTATATTTTTCTTTTATCATTTTTTAAAACTTAGCCACAGTCATCAATTAACCATCCACTATTTTTTTTAAATGAAAGAAGTAGCAAAAATAAATTAGACCAAATTACTACATAAATATAATTCAAAATATTTTTAGTAATTTCAAAGTGCGAATGCATATAGCAACATGGGTTGACATGAGTGATGAGGAACTCACGTTGCTTAATTGAGTGGTTAGAGATTGAATTCTGCCTCTTACGAATGTAGAAAACTTGAGCTAAGAGGGAATGTCTACTTATTTGATACCTGTCAAATCCTGGAGAGAAATTATTTTCGTATTTAATGAAAAATACGTCTTGATAATGAACAAAGAAAAGTGCAAGTACATACGAGTACAAGTACTTCATTATTTGTTCATAAAATATAGCATATACTCATTCAGTTACCTATTTTCAATTCATATATAGCAAGTTTTTACTCACATGTACAAGTGTGTTTTTTTTGTCATTTATAATAATCATAGTAACAACTCAATTATGAGAAAGATAATATATGTATAATAAGGCTAACTTGGGCTTTTAATCTCCTTGTTCTTGTTAATTTGTAATTTTAGCCTCCTATTTCAAAATAAAAATGTTTAGTCACTTATAAAAATGTAGAATTTTGATCTTAATATTAATTTGACATTCATTGATAGTTAAATGTTAGCATTGATTCATGTCTTACCACCACTTAAATGATGTAACATTTAATGACGTGATATTTAAAGATAAATTTTTAAAAAATACAAAAGATCTTTACTTTTTATTTTATTTTAATAAGTGATTGATATTTATTGGCTTATTAAATCTCATTTATCTTAATTTTTTATCTCTAAATATTATGTCAGTTGTAAGACCCGTGAACCCCTTCACTCTTATTTTCTCTCTAACCTCTAAACCTTCTTCCTTGTTGACCCCTTTCCTTCACTCTTCACCTTTTAGCTGGAGTTGATACATTGTTGGTCTCATTTGCAAGTTGTTGAACCTTAGGAGTACAAGGAAATCTCAAAGTCGTGGTTGAAGTTCCATAGTCATTCCTTAACCCTAGATTCATGTGGACACTTCTTCTTCTCCCTTCTCTTTAGCATGAAGCTGAATTCTTCTTCCTTTGAGGTAAAGGAAGCTGAGATTTTGGGTTGAAAACGTTGGGCTGATGAATGGATTGAAGGTTAATGTTGGTAAATTTGTGAAATTTGCAACTATAGGGAGGATCCAAGGGGGTTTTGTGTTGAAAATTGGGGGGTTTTATTGTTCTTGATGTATGGTTAAAATGTGATGATTTCTTTGAATTGCTGTGAATGTATGTTGTTTTTCTTGGATATTCTGAGTTGTATGTTGTCAGGGTTCAAGGATTTTGGGGTTGCACGATTTGATCATTACATGGGTTGAGAGGATTTGGAAATTTGAGTTGTTCATTTGCTGGTATGAGTTTACTGGGTTTGGGACGCTGAGCATGAGTTTTCTCGCTCAGCATGACAATTTGGGAGTGTTGTTGGAAATCTGGGGTTGAGCATGAGATTCTGCGTTGAGCATGAGAGTGAGTTGTGCCTCTAGAAGGCTGATGCTGAGCGTGGAATTCTGTGCTTAGCATGAGAGCTGAGTTGTGCCTCTAGAAGGCTGAGGCTAAGCGTGAGTTTTTGCGTTGAGCGTGGGGACCTAGTTTAATAAATTTCTTTTCTAATTAAGTTGGTTGCTTACATGATGGATGAGTTGTATGTTGAAAGCTTGTTGTCTGAGTTGTATTATGGTTAAATGATGTTGATTAAGTTATAGAGATGAGGTATGATGAGGAACATTATGTGTTGAACATGTTGCGTGTTGTTGGAGTTGTTTATATGTTGTATGTTGTTGAAGTTGTTTACAAGTTGTTTGTTGATCAATTATATGTTAAAAAAATGATATTGTTGAAGCATGTTGAAATTAAGTTGTTATATGTTGTGTGTTGACTTTGTATATGTTGTGAAACATGATGAGATGATCTAGTTGAGAGTTGTGAAGTGCATGATGATAATGTTGCTAAGTTGTTAGATGAGAGTTGTATGTTGTTATAAAGTTGTATGTTGTACTATATGTTGAAAAGATGTTACTTTGTGATGATTGAGCTACAAGTTATGAGTTGAGCTGTTGAGTTAACTATGTTGTTTAAAGTTAAAATGAGCTTATAGTTGAGCTGATGAGATGATAACTATGTTGTTGTGCTAAAAATATAATGAGTTGTTGTGTTGTTATTCTGAGTTTGTTGAGCTAAACTGTGATGCTAAGTTGTGAGTTGATTGAGTTGTGATGATGAGTTGTTGATCACTAGGACTAGGGGAGATATTTTCGAAGTTGTTCATCCTATTGTGCGGATTGAAATAGTTGTGGTGTTCTAAGGGCTCAATTTGTTGAAAAACCCTCTTCGGGAAGTTGTCTCTTAGAGTGAATGATGTGTTGTTCTCCTCTTGGACTTAGTTGATTGCATGTGTGGGCAAGGTTGAGACATATGTGTATGAAACGACCACGATATAAAGGTCAAGTCGAGCTATATTGATTATAAGCGATCAATTTCAGTAAAGTAAGAAGTCGGGAACTTAATTCCTAAGTGAATATCTTAGGGTTGTAGTATTTGAAGGATAGTCAGTAGGTTAATCCCATAAGTGGCTTAGTTGAGCTAGCTAGTGTCGTGGTACGCCTAAACCCAACTAACTTATCTTAATATAGTACTATACTTCTTTGTTTAAGTGGCAAAGTTTGAAATATCGTTATCGTGTTGTGGATTTTTATTCAAATTTATTGTTTACCTAGAAAATCCAAAAAGGTTTTGTGTTGTTGGTTCAGTAGGACCTAACCACTTAAACTACTCACCCTATGTTGTAGGAGATCTCCGAGTTGAAATACGTGATGACACATATGTGTTGATGAGTTGAATGTGTTGATGTGATGATAATGTGTTGTTATGTGATGATGTGATGATAATGTGTTGTTATGTGATGATGTGTTGTAAGTTGTTGAATAGAAAATTTGAGTAATATAAGAGTTGTTTGTTGTCTGTGTTGAATGTGATGATAAACCATAAGTTGCTATGTTGTGTGTATATATATAATGTGTTGGTTATTTTATCTAGCTTACCTTTACATGTTTTCATGTGATTTGGACTGCGATAATTATACATTATATGAGAGTAGGGCAGGGATAGGCTAGCATGTTGAAGATAGAGGCTACCTAATGGCGAAAGCTAGAGATGTTTGTATTTTGTAGACTATCCTTAGATTTTTATATATATATATATATATATATATATATATATATATATATATATTTGTGTGTGTGTGTGTGTGGCACATATGTTATATATATGTTTATATATTTGTATTATATTATTTTAGTATATATATTAATTGTTTAATTGTTCCATAGTGTGACGGTCATGATGGATCGTTACATCACTTAATGACATATCACTTATTTGCTAACATATTACAAGTCAAAGTTATATTAAAAATATGATAAATAAAAAAAATTTATCTTAAAATTAAAGATTAAATATTTTTATTTTAAAATTAAAAAAATAACAAATATTATCGATGAAACAACTCTAAATAAATATTAAATCTCAAATGTCTTCGAGTTCTTTTTATACCTCTTAGCCCTCCATAAACAATAAATAAGAAATGTTGTCACATGTGATCTCTCTTTCAAAAAAATAAAAGTATTTTCACACTTAATTGTTATAAATATAATTGTAGAGTAATTTTCTATTTATCATTTTCTTTTTCTCTTTTTACTTTTTTCTTCCCCTGTTAGACAAGAAAATATATAGAATAGAAAGTCAAGTGGCATTTCCAGTTTCTTTTTCTTCTTCCCAATTTTTAATTATCGTTAATTTCCATCCTTTGTCAAAAAAAATAATTATTGTTAATTTTCCCCAATTTCTCCACCGATCACCGGTTGGCTAGGTCGTCATTTATGTTCGAGCGCTCTCTCTCTCTCTTCACCTATTTCTCTCATTCGAATCCAACCTTCACGCATTAACCGTTGCGACGTTCGCCGGAGAATCGGGCTCGGCCACCGCTCTCCGATGACCGCTCGATAGGACATCATGGCGGAGCACAACAGCGCCGCCGTCAACGACGGCGAACCAGAACCGCAACAGAACGAACACAATCTCCACAACCACAACGACGACGACGAGAAGAGTTCAGATCCAGAGCTGTTCTGCTGTTTGCTGCAGCCAGCCATCGCCGACGGCGATCCCGAGTACGTCGGCATTCGCCGCCTCCTCCTTTATCGGAAGGCGGAGGCCGGAGTTCTCCGCCGCAGAGTACGCTCCCTCTACAACACTCATTGTTATCTATACCTCTGAGAATTTTATCATCAGAATCTGAAAATTTAGATTCTTATAGTGCTTCTAGCTTAATTCTCTTTCTTATTACCGTGTCGATCTCGCTCTTTTTTTTTTCCTTCTTCTTTTCCAGATCAATCGTGATGGATTTGCATTAATTTATTTTTTAATTTTCCTTTCATTGTTGTGACTTTTGCCTCTGTGTTGTTACATTTTGACTTTTCGATTATAATAAGCTCGTTGACTCGCGTGTTCTTACAATGCTCGTAGCTAAATTCTGTTCCTAAATGTACTCCTACTTTTGATTCAGTGGTGTCTTTTGCAGATCAATCGTCATAAACAATATTTAATTATGTTGAGCGCTGAATTTATTCCTAATATTATGGAAAATGCTAGCAGAACACTTTCTGCTATCGGCCGAAATTCGTTGGACATTATTAATTTCTGCGAGTCCTACATTCTATTTATTAAGTCTTACTTCTAAATTATAATTTTATAATTTCCAATAACTTCCAGCAAAAACAGATAGTGTGTTAAAAACAGTAAGTTTGAGAGTGTGTTGCCAGCAATCCTCCATTATTATTTTTGTTGTTATTATTTGTGATAGTATAGTCTCCTGAGGGCTGTGGCTGTGTTGCTACATGTTGACTTTTGGAGTGAAGTTGTACACTTTTTGACATTCCTGTGATTGTGTTGAAGGATTGGAGATGCAATGGTAAAACTTATGTGGCATACCGGAATTACATATCTAGGCCTACGAACTGGGATAGGGAAAGTTCACGTGCCCCAAGTCTCCAGAGTACTCCAGGAAACAGGTTGCTGAATTTTTTACTTGAAGTGATGAGCACAGATATGCTTAATTTTGCATCACATGATTTCGTGATGGTTGCTGAAAGGGATTAAAATAAAGATGCCCATAATCGGACATGGAGCCTTTAAGTGATCTGAATGTTTAGGTGTACAGTAAATTAATCTGTAGGGAATGTGGAAAATTTTGGAAGACAGATGTGCATATTCATTTAAATGTATTTTTTCCTTCACATATGTAGGAAAATTATGACCATTCTATCTCAAACATATTTACAACATGAATATGATTTATGACTAGTGATTTTCTTTGACCTTTTTGCTGATATCAGAGACCTTTTTAGCTGATGTAATTTTCTCCACTAATATTTTTTCTGTTATGTTTTAAGTTAATTGAGGAGGATGTTGTATTTTCCAACATTTCTACTTTGTTTTTTAGGGTAAAATCTTCTAATATCAAGATCATTTGTATTTCAATGTGAATTTCATGTACTTCTTTGTGGTTAATTTTTCAATTTCAGTTTCTGTTTGTAATGATAACCACATTTTATGTCAATGCAGCTTTCTCATTCATGGTACTAGTTTAAATTTATGTTTCCATACAATTCTGACATCAGGATAATTTACTGGTTGATGCATCAGTGGCCGATGGTTTCCATCTCCAGGTCCACACTCCCGTTGGTCTGAGGTGGACAGCTGGGGTTCCGGGCGAGTAAGTTATTCCATGTAGATATTTTTTGTAATATACTTGTATTGCACATACCTATTGCTGCATTTGACTCATAACAACATGAATAGAGAGATATCATATCCATCAAAATTATTAATAGATTGACATATTCTGTTAGTGGGATATATACTTTTTAATTCAAGCACATAGGTCTATCAAAGTATACAATAAAATGGGATGGCCATCCATTCATTTCAACTGAGAGTAACTTAGACACTAAGCTATAAGTGTTTTGCCTCTGTGTGAGTATGATGTCATCAAGGAAGTGCTGATTATGCTTTGGCAGGGCACCTGGACATGTGAGATGCTTAGGCTTATTTAGTTACTTTTTTGTTTTTTTCCCTTCGTTTAGGAAGTGAAGGTTTGAAGAAGAGCTAACAAAGTATTCAGAAACAAAATTAGATAGACCCATAGGAAAAATGCTAGATAAATTTGTTTTAAACTTAAAACTGTTGTTGTGTTGCAATTGGCCTTTTGATGATACTATATATTCTTCACTAATTATTAGATTTGATTAACCCTATATTTTCTGGGGAGATTTGGCTGTCAATTTTTTTAATATATGTAAGTCATGCTCAATGCTTCTCTTGTTGAAATTACAATTGCAAAGTAAATACACCTAACTTTACTTGATTGGGGGAAATTTGCATGGAACTCCCTTATTTGTTTAGATATTACATAAGGCTACACTAATGCAATAGAATGACTATAAGATAGTTACAAGTATACTTAGTGTGTTTATACTGTTAAGGGATGTGGGTTATGCCATGATAATTTGGAGCTTTGTTTAATTGTTTTGAAATTGGAGAAGGTTTGTACAGTTAGCTTCTATGCTGCAAAGTATTAGTTTAATTTTCATCATCATTTAATTTTTTGGTGTCATTTTTCTAAATTGTGTATTTTTTTTTTTCATCATAGGATCTACAAAATGCAAATCCAGTATATAATCATAGAACGAGTTTTGCTTCAAGTGCAAGTGATTCTGATCGTCCTAGGCACCGTGGGGTTGAGGCTGCCTATTCTTTTGTTGGAATGCATTGCATTTTTGATCAGTGCAAAGCTTCTGGTAGTATCTAGAGTCCAATCTAGATTCGTCTTTCCATTATTTTAGTACTAGACTCTGTTCTACTTGGTTTTCATGGTGGAATAATCCTGAAAATTTTCATGTGTAGTTACGGTATTGAAGTTTGGGCACATGAGTTCTGATCTACTTGCTTATGGGGCATCGGATGGAACCTTGACTGTATGCAGTATATCTGATGAGAAATCTTCAGTCATCAAACAATTAGATGGGCATTCCAAAGATGTCACAGGTTGGATAGACTGTCTTTGTTTCTTTGATCTCTTTCTACACACATAATTTATGTGTGTGTGTGTGTGTGTATATATATATATATATATAT